GTGCAATAAGTCGCAGAGGCAACCACTTATTTTTTATAATTTACTTTTTTCATGTTACAAACATAAGATGTACAAAACATTTAGAATTTCGTTGTCAGTCACAAAAGCTTTGTGTTCTCTCCCTTGTATATGCCTGTTAGTCTGTGCAACAGAGATTGTGATGTATGGCGTGTCTCTCCTACCGACTACAGGTCTACCCTTGATTTCGGTACTTTGGAATAAATGTAAATAGAAATAATAATCATAATAATAATAATAATAATAATATTATATATATAATATAATAATAATATAAATATAATAATAATAATATATAATTACACTGTAGATAACTGCGGCTACGTGCATAAAAAGTACCAAGAAATTCAAAATTATAATTTACCTTTTTTGTTTACGAGATAAAACTTTCCCCAATGTTACCAGTAATTGTAGCTCGCGTCATGAAAATTTCAAGTCCCCCTCACATCGTTTCGCCTCTCTCCCTGAAGCGTTGCTGGGAGACGCCAGATCTGTGGCAGGATCTGCGGTCGCTTCCGATGACATACGAGGGTCTGTGTTATTGCCTTCCGTTACGGAGTTAGGAGAGGTGTCACAGCAGGAGCGGATCCAGCCGATTATTTTTCGGGAGGTGGGGGTATATTTTTGTAAATATAAATGTATTTGTTATATTGTATATAATTTAGAGATTCACCAGATGAACTCATTTAAGCAGGTAAACGTCGTTTTGAGATCAAAAATCGAGTTATAGGATAAAAGAGCTCGTGCGTATACTCCGCTCATTTTTCGGTATTTGAACCCGGAAGATCTTAGAGCAAGGGGAATGTTAACAGAAAACTTAGAAGTAAAATATAGTCTAAAATAAGTGTGAGGAGATGAATATGGTTATACTTTACAAAATTAGTTCATTTAAAAAAAAAAAAAAAAAAAACAGTTTCCCAAATCGGATCGATATTATGAGTATTGCCTCAACAAAATTTTTAAGAATCGAATATTCGAAGGAAGAAACGGAAATATGTTAAAAATATAGTATGTCTACATTACAGACCGTTTACCTCATCAGTAAAAGGTAGTTATAGCATTTCTAATTGGTATCAGTGGAAACGTAGACTGAGTGCAAAGAGACGAAAGCCGAAACCGACTGTCTGGCTTGCGTATCCCGCAAGTCCCGCCTGCTGCCGCCGGGCGCTGGCCGCAACGCCCGCCTGGCCTGGTTCGTGCCCCGCGCGCCGACAAGACGGGCCCACAAACAATCGGGTGGGTGACCACGGCGAAGCAAGGGGGAAGGGGGGGGCGAGG